GCCCCGGGGTCCTCCTTGGCCGCCGGCCGGGCGGCACCACCCGGTCCTGCTGCAGCAGAGCACAGGCCGCTCACCCACGGCACCGGGACTTGTTCTGTCCCCTCACGCCCCGACTCAACGAGGCCTTTTCCTGGGCTGACATTTGGGGTGGGAGGAACTGGTGCCTCTGATGAGGACAACTCAAAGCGCAGAGCCAAGTCACGGGGAGGGTAAATCAGCCAACTGCGAGTGCGCTAAGAGGGGCCCTTCCCGAATCTGCAGCCGTACAGGACAAGAACAAACCAGCACCAGCTCCCCTGGAGCTCACCCCTCTGCCTGGCACCGTCCTCCTGCCTCTTCCCACCAGCCATCACGCACTGGCTCTGCCTCACCTCTCTGCCTCCTCCTCGGTCACCTCCTTCCTCCGGGGCAGGCTGCTGTTGTTGTTACAGGTCATGATGTTGTTGCTGGAGAAATTCTTCTGAGACTTCACGAAGCTGCTGCTTTCGCCGTCCTCGTTTGAGGTCGCTTTGACAACGTTGCTAAGGAAGAAGATGAAGCTGTTTGGCACCATCCTGCCCCATCCCGTGCCACATCAGCACATGAACACGGGGGTCAGCACAGCCTCCAAGCCAGGACCTCACCACACTTACTTGAGGGAGCTGGGTGCCTGGTTAGAGCTTTTGGGCGCAGAGCCCTTCTCAGTGGTGGAGTAGTTGTTGTGCACCATGGTGGTGACAGAGTTGCCCATCGCACCCTTGTTGCTCCTTTTGTGGAGAGAAGACGAGGCGTTAGGACTTGCTGGATCCGAAGGGGACAGCACGCACCACGGATGCTCCCTGCGTTGCGACCCTCAACCCAACCGTGACCGTCTGGAGCATCCCCCAAGGCGAGGGCCAGGCGAGGCCTCACAAGTGACTCGTCCACTCTCTAGAGCTCGCTCCTCGGTAGCTGTTACCTGACACACAGACAGGCAGACACAGCCCAAGCAGACCTAACGGCCTGCTGCTCAGGCTATTCTACACACAGCCTTGGTTTAAGTCGCTCCTGGCCCTGAAGGGTTCAAGTTTTACTCGTTCCCTTTCCTAGAGCAAGGGCAGCCTCTCCCACGCATCAGTCGAGCTCCTGCGCGGCTTCCAAACGCGTCCCGGCCAGCCAGCCTGGCACACCGTCATCGGTCTGCCCGGCACTTGACCCCCACGCCCTGGCAGAGGCAGAGCACCGGCACCCCCTCCTCTGCCCGGGTGTTTTCTCGGCGTAGTTCCTCCCAACACCAGGCCTACAGGCCCCAGTTCAGTGCCGCCCCTCCTACCTGTTGTTGGCAGTGAAGTTGGCTGCCAGGAGCACGGTGGCTTCTTTCCTCCTCATACCCGCTGGTGGCTGAACGCCGTGGGAGCCGGAGGAGCCCGGGAACGCTCGCGGCTGATCGTCCTGCCATGGAGTCAGCAGGTATAAGCGCAGGCAAGCGCCAAACCCATGTCCTCAAACACCACCCTCTTCCTTCGCAAGCCAGTTTCTGCCACACACAAGAAACCTCTGTTCCACAGCACGGCAGCCTCGAGGCTTTGCCTGCATCTCTGCCTGCCTCCACCAGAAGCCAGGAACATGGAGGCGATGGGCCAAAAGCCCTGGGCCAGAGACAAGGGCAACGCAGGCCAGAGGACTGGCCGAGCACGTTGGCCATCCAAACCGTGCCAGCTTTGACTGTAGGCTGAGGAAGGACCAGCCTGGCCGTCACAGACGAGCTGTACCACCCCATCCTCGGCTCTAGGGAAACCCTCCCACTCCTCCACCAAACCCAGCCGACTCCTCGAGCAAGCAGAGCTGACTTAGGCCACCCGCCCCAGGACATCCCCGTCCTCACCAAGATGTTCCACGTGGTTTTCTTTTCCGGGGAGGTTTTGCTCAGACTCGCCAGTTTCTTTCTTCCCCCAGAACCGCTCTCAAAGAAGGTCAGGAAGTCTCCCGCCTGCTCTGAGCTTTAGCCCGAATCCAGGGAAGGCAGAGAGGAGGAGAGAACACGTGTTCCAGAGTTAATATCGCATGCAAACGGCAACAAGACAGCGATAGCAGGGTTCTCATCCCACACAGGCTGCTTCGCTGAGAAGCACGCTCTGATCGCGGCAAGGCACTCTGACAACACACACAGCATAGAGCCGAGGCACACCTACCGCCTGCCATCGTGACACAGGGGAGAAAAGGGAAGGAGAATCATTACAGAGTCATGAAATCTATGAATGATCGTTTTTATACAGAGCTTTAGATTTCAGCATGACGTGCGAAGATAGAATATGTTAAAGGGATGGGCACAGGGCAACAAGAGAACGGAAAATCATGATTCAGAGACAGCCCTAGGAGGTCACTGGAGGCAGAAGGAGAACTTTTCATCTCCTAACACAGTCCAGCTACGGTCCGGAGGGTCCATTAGGGGCTGTTGTAATTGAACGGCCCTGTCCCTTGGAATTAAATTGAGTGTCTTTTGTGACAGAGGCTTCCCAGCCACAGAAGTACGCTCTATTTCCCCAAATCCTAATCAAGTGACGTCCCCTCAAAAAAAAAAACAAACCAAAACCAAAAAAACAGACCTTGGCTTTCCGAGGCCAGGCTGTAACCCCTGATGAGTATGACAGAGCTTAATGCACGTTTTTGAAAGGCTCTGGTTCCCTCACAGGCAGGACAAGAGAGGTCAGACAGACGGGTGGGGTTTCACATAGTCCCATCCACGGGACAGAGGGACACACGTTGGTGGCTGGAGCTGTACCTGCGCGTGCTGTTCACCCGCTGGTTAACCTGGGTGGTGCTGTTGGACCTCCGCAGGTTGTTCATTGCCCGGGATCCCGCATCTTCCTGCGGAGGAGAGAGCTAAATTCAGCAGCGATGTTGAGGAGAAGCACGGGCAGGCGAAGCTGGGATGCCTGGCCTAGGCAGGCTAGCCCTGTGAGTCAAGCATCCTAAAATAGCACTGCTGGCGGTGCTACCCCTCCACCCCCTTCAACACAGCCCCGACACGACGTTTCCAATATCCCTGCGGCTGCCAGCCTCTCCTTGAGGCAGAGTGCAATGGCACCTCGCTCCCTCTTGGGCTCCCGCGCTGCTGCTGAGCCAGCAGGAACGAGCTCGTTTGTGTGAGCTCCCCAGCCCAGAAGGGCCGTGCTCGTTACCTGCCCTGGGAACAAGCGTGAAGGAAGACTGCCAAGGCAGTAGGGATTACTCAGCAAAGAGCGCAGAGATTCTCCACTACTGGATCTTAATAGAGCCCAGTAAGTACCTGGGGCTCATTCGCTCTGCTGAAAAAACACTCGCAGAAACCCCCACTCAGCAAGACACCGAGCCCCCAGCTCTGCCGACCCCAGCAGGAACGGAGGGTGCTCGGCAAGGCACAAGCTGGGCCTGGAAGCGCCACAGCGTCCGGCAGAAGATACCAGGAACTGGAAGGAAATCGGGGCAGGGAGGCGAAAGGCAAGGAAGGGAAAAGGGTGAAGCCTGACGCTTTCCTGCTTGCCGTTCTGTGTACGTTCAAGGGCCGAGAAGAGACCTGATGAGCAGCCGATCGTTGAGGATGATCAGATTTGGAGAGAGCGCGCGGCACTGCAGCACCCAGAGCTGCAGCTCCAACTAACACCTGGACCAGCCCAATTCTCCCCTCCCGAAGGTGGTGCGGCTGCCCTCCATAAACACGCAGCCATGCCACGCCGCCACACGCTCTCGGGAGGGAGCCAGGGCCCTCCCCAGTGCCACCTCCCGCCCCAGGCTGCGCTTCAAAGCTCAGCCGGCAGGATCAGCGCGGCCCGATGTTAGACAGCTGGGAGAGCGGGCGTGCATTGAGGCATCCCACTCGTGCACGCGCGAAGGATCTCTCCTGCCCAGGACTCACCGGAGCGTTCCTCTTCGGTTTGCCATCGGCGGTGACCGAGATGGAGCGCGCCATGTGCTTGGCGGGAGAGGCGCTGCTGGGCCGCGTTCCTCTGGTTTGCCATCGGCGGTGACCGAGATGGAGCGCGCCATGTGCTTGGCGGGAGAGGCGCTGCTGGGCCGCCGTGAGACCGGCGCGGGGAGGCCCGTCAGGCTCAGATCCACGCCGCCAGTACCGGCGCCCTGGAAGGAGGAGCTGCTGCGGGTGCTCTTCATGCTCGAGCAGAGAGAAGGGGCCCTGGAAGCACAGTGCAGACGGAGAAGTGAAGGCACGGGGAGCACATCCAGCCTCGTGCGGCAAGCAAACCACACGCTCTGCTCCCAGCCGTCTCCTACAAACGCCGGCACACAGAGCCGTAACCGTTTTCAAATGGGGCAAAACACCTTCCTCCGTATTTCCACATGCCAAGTAACCCTGAACACAAGCCCTGGAGAGGCTCCAGGTGAACTCACAGTGCCCGACACCAGCAGCCGTCCCCCCACTGCTTTGACCTAACACCCCGGCTGTCCATCCCACGTCCTGCTGCCCCATTTACAGGCCAGGACGCTCCCTTCAAGGCCGGCAGACAATTAACACAGAGGAGAAAAGCCCCGCTCTCCCCACACCGGGCTCCTTACAGACTGTGGCTGCGAGAGGATCATGCGAGCCCAGAACCCCCCCTAAGGCTGGGGGTTCAGCTCACCCAGCACCCTGCATGGGGCAGGGATGCTGAAGAAGCAACTGGGCAGCTCCCGAGGCATCCTTCCCCCACCAAGCGCTCCCAATCTCTGCCAAGAAGCTGTTCAGAAGCGTCCGTGCCCTCTCCACGGGCGCAGGGAGAGCTGAGCCCTGCTCCCAGCTCGGGAGGAGGCACGCTCCCCACTTTACCCCTTTGCATCCCCTCCCGCCACAGCACTGAGCCAGGAGCTGTCGCTGTCCCCAGGCAAACGCCACCGCGACATCACTTTATTTCTTTACGCAGCGCTACGCACAAGCCATCCCTAAATCCGTCTTCCCCCAGCAGGTCTGGTTTCACCCCCCCCCCCTTGGGGCTCCACCGGAGACCTTGGCAATGCCTCGGGCCCAACAACCCCGATAAACAAAAGGCTCTCGATGGAAACCGCCGGGCTCACACCAGGAAAACAGGGCTCAGGCCCAGAGTCCAGGCCCAGGACACCCAGGCCCAGGACACCCAGGCCCCTCAGGCCCAGGACACCCAGGCCCCTCAGGCCCAAGCCCCAAGCTCCAGGCCCCCCAGCCCCCAG